CTATTTAAATTAATATACTTAAACTATTTCAAAATAAATAATTTAATTTTGAGTATTGCTAAATATCACCAACGGTTACGATCAACATTACCAAATTAGGCGAAGTTCCAGGCAGAGTTAAAAATGTAAATTCTGCCCGAAATTTCTCCCTAATGCTGGTATAGTAATTATTACACGCAAGATTTAGCAATTTTCTTCAATTTTCTTTGATTTTTAAGATTTATTATTTAATTTAAAATTGCGCCATAGTGTTATCGCCGGTAATAATATTTTAACTGGAATTACTAGGATCAGATGAGAGTCAGTATCAAGGATAGAAGTTAGGTATTAATTAGGTAGTATAAATTCCGAAGTAATATTTTACTATTATAGTCTTATTTATTTCACATCAGCCTGTCATCAGGTACATCAGGTTGAAAATTCTTAAGTTTTATTACATATTTATTATTAATATTATACAAGTGCCCATTTATATTTAGTCATTCATTACTTTAAATCAAAGAATTTCAAAATTTAGGTTTAATAAGATATTTAATATTTTCATAATCCGAAATTATATATTTAATTGAACTAATATTACTAATATTGAAGTTATAGCTAACTGACTATTCAAATATTTTGTTGTTAGAAACATATTTAAAAAAAAATTAGATAGTAAAACAAATAACTTTTTTTTGTGAGCAAAAACACAGTATTATTGCTAATGAACCACTTAAAAAGAAATAAAAGTCATTGCTTAGTCACTTCAGTGAAATCTTTAAATATGGTTCTATACATAAGTAAGAATAAACCTATGACAATGATAATTCATATACAGATATTTATTTACAAATAATTAAACAATAGAAAAGTTAATAAATATAAATAACCAATTAAATAAAATGTATAGCTAAGAATAATTTTTGCTAACATTAAAAAGGTTACGGTACATCTCACCAAAATACATTTCACCAAAGGGATATTTCACCGAAGGGACGTTTTGCCGAAGTGCATTTTATCGAATCTATTTCACCGAATCGTCCATTTCGCTGAATGCCATTTTGTCAAGGACATTTCACCAAAAATGGTAGCGATTAACATTTTAATAAAAAATATTCATCATGGCGCAATGAAAATAAAATTAAATTATTTATTGAGATTTTTTTTTACAGGATACTATCACTTTAACATTCAAGTAACTGATATTAATTGTTATGATAAGAAATAAATAAATAACTTTATTTTCCTGAAAACATTTATTCACGAAAAAGTAAGTAAAAAAAAGACTATCAATATATTATAAACAACGAGATAAATTTAATAAAAATCAGCTAATTCAAGAAAACAAATAAAATAACAAAATGGAACAAATAATTTTTTGGCAAAATGTCCATTCAGCGAAATATTCATGATTCGGCGAAATGGTTTTCGGTGAAATGGTATTTCGGCGAGACCTTCGGCGAGACATCCTTTATGCGAAATATCCCTTCGGTGAAATACCCCTTTGGAAATAGCATCGGCAAAATGGTTTCGAAGAAATGAACTTCAATGAAAAGTTTGGATACCCATTAAAAATACTATTAATTTATAAAGAATGTGACATAGCTGTGGATTAGATAATCGGCTAAAGTCATAGAAACATAATCATTTTATCAATTTATTTACATCATGTTGCAATTGTTACATGTACAGAAAATGTGAACTAAATACAAAATCCAATTGGTCAATAAGCATGCGGGATAGAACGACATTGCATCTGAAATGCCTAGAAGTAAACGGTCCTACGCTACGATCGTATAGACAAATAAATTCCAAAGACAATTTAATATTATTTTCACAGTAAACCACATATTACCTTCAAAATTACATTTATAATAATCCAATTTCTCTTAAATATCTAACAGCTAAGCGTTTATTGACATGGAAAAAATTATCTTCATCAACTTGTCAATATCCTTAATACTAGTTAATCCATAAAAATTATATAGCTTCTTGATATTAGACGTTTTATAGTATGTCACATTAAATATTCAATTCTCAACATTTAAAAAAAAAATTTCAACATATTATAAAACCAAAAGGTTCAAGTAGAAATTATACTTCAGTGCAAAAAATTAATTAAATAAGTTGGTTGGCGTGAAATTGAAAGTGATTGGATTCTTTGTATTGTTTAGGAAATTCTTTGTAATATCTAATAATTAACATTGGCATCTGGTTTCACATTAGCATAGCGGACATCCCTATTTTATCACAATACTGACTGATCATTTGTCGATCATTTGCCGATCATTTATTCAATTATCACATAATATAAATACCGTTGCTAAAAAAATCTACATAATAATTAATATGTTCAAATTTCACAAATAACTTAAATTTAGTTTTAATTTATTGTGTATTAAATTTCATTAGATTTTATTATTATTTGGCATATATTTATTCATTTTACGAAATTATTCACTAATTATGTTACTAATAAAAAACCTGCATTATGAATCAGATCACTGCATTATTTTTTTTATATATTCTACATAATATAAAGAATATTTGTGCAAATTCTTAAGTTTCGCACTCACATATTCATCTTCGCACTTCAATTTTTGTCTGATGATCGGCAATAATTAGTGAATTACCATATACAAATAATATTTTTATGATATTATTAAAAATTGTCTAATAATTACATAATTAAAGTCATATGATAATTTAGTGTTTTTACTTAGATTTCCATTATTTTTTTGCTACATAATTTGAAAAATATTTGTGATTTTGCAATAAGTTTTTAAAATCCGGAATTAGTGATCAGCAAATGATCGGCAAGGTGATATGAGCATGTCCGCTATGCTTTTCACATTAGAGTCTATCAAATATTAGAAATCTGCAACTTTTCAAATACCGAATGAAATAATTTTATCAAATTTATACATTTTCTTCATTCAAAAAATAATTTGATTATCTTTAAAACTTTCTCGCAATAAAAATATTGTACGCTCTATATTTAATAGAAAACTCAGGTATGCGTAAAAGGCTCATATTACGAAGTTTTTACAAAAATAACGGATAAAATTTTTTATAGGGTTGAAAAGCATCAGTGATTTCTCCATCCATATTTACGAATTGAAAAAAATGATTAAACATTTTAGGTGAACGATAAACAATATGTAATCTCTTTATATTTAAGTTAGACAGACGGTTTTTAGTAATAGATTTATATTTATAATTTGACATATTTGCATACGTTTTTTAGTCTTTATTATTCTTGATAAATTATGACATTATGCCTTTCAAGACTGTTACCACGTTACAATTGATGCATATAGTAATATACTAGTTTATTATCAAAATTTAATTTCTATATAATTCATGCTTTGGGCTAATCGCTCAACTTTTTCGATGCAATTTATCGGGACGTGCAAGGTCTAAAGGCTTCTTTATATATTCGGTTTCTCGATAGCCCGGGTCATATTTGAGAAAGTGCCATACGAAGCCATTTAGCACTGGTAGAGGCAGTCATTCAGAACATATAATGTTCAACTAAATAATATATATATAAAGCTGATAAAAGTTGAAACCAAATCACCAAAAATAATATTAAAAGGAGAAAGTATAGACCGACATTTAAATATCAAAATCAATTCTATGCGTAGTGTATCCAATAATTTAAGTTAAAAAAGTTAGGTTGAGATAATACAAATTTTTAGAAATATAATATTTTACTTACTTTCATCAATGATACATTTTTCAAATTGTTTCGTAATATAATCTAAATAAATGAAACAACAATAATTAAATTAAGCATGGCTTATATTTATTGTAAATATGCAAAATGTTTTACCGTTAATTTTATTTTTGATTAATTTAACTCTTTTAATAATTTTGTCTGTGAATATTTTATTTTAATTACTAAAAATTGAATTATTCACACTTATATGTAAATGTTTGCTTTTATCATACCTTCAAAAAAGTTAGCAAGCTCAATTTATGATAATGAAGAAGCTTCCCGCAACGCGGTTTGAAAATCACGTGGTGTGTGATTATTTGTGATATTTGTGATTTTGGCCCGTCAGGATTTTGACCGCATCCCGATCTGTACTATATTATATATTTGAAACATGCATATGATACATATCAATGAGGTTCTCGAAATTCATAATCCCGACAATATCCAGACATTTACAAAATCCCGAAGTTTAATATCCTGACAGGTAGAATTTATACATGGGGGCGTTATTATTTCAGATAATTCGGCATTCAGGCTGTGTAATGTTGAAATATATTACACCAAATTTTTGTTCGAAGATTTATATGAAAACCAGTATACACCGGTGTAATGCCGAATTGGTGTAATGTGCCGTAATATTTCGGCATGGCCAAAAATTAATATTCAAATTCAGTGTAGTGACTGTAGTCATTCAATGTAAATTTTACTTCAGTTTCATCATATCATTTCAGAATTTTTTAATTGTCTGAATTTTGTACAAGTCTGGATTTCAATTTCGGGATTTTGATATACAATTCCCGATTTCCCGATGGACGATTTTGCTCCAGATTTACTCAGAGTTATGCATGAACACGTGATCAAAAGGCTGGGCTGTCAGGAAAGTATATTGTCGGGAAACGGTCCGTAAGCGCCAAGCTAAATGTGATATCACGATGGAAATTGCGAAACCATGCGTATGATTCAGTGGTGATCCTTTTTGTCGGTCGATTATGAACTTTGGCTCATTTAATAAATTTTTATCACATGTCTCCAAGTTTCATACACATTTCAAACAGAAATAAAATTTCAGTATATATACACCTCCACTTTTGCCATGAAATTTATTAACATTTTTCTCAACATGAAATACAACCTAATAATTGTCATCATTTTTAGTTTAACGATTGGCCTTGTTATGACTCCTATTGAAGGTAAATACTTTAAACAATATAACTTGGCAAAAAAAAATTAATTGCATGTTCTTATGTTCTAACAATTCTAAATATATTAAGCAAGCAATACTATTTGGGTCCATAACAAAATGGCGCCAGCTACACGTGGCGAAGTTTATGTCATGGTAAATGGACAACAAGCGGGATTTGGAGGTTCATGGTCTCGCAAAGGTTTTAATGTTTATGTATCCGATATTACATCAGAATTTAACCTAACATTCTCTGTCGAAGATTCATCTGAACAAGATAAATATCGTGGACCATTCAAGAATAACAAGGATTATGAATGGAAATTCTCTGGTAGTCTAGATATTTGGCATATAGAACAACTAGCCTAGTAATATATCTCTTTACTAAAAAAATAATTAATTTCATTCTAGCATTGGTAAATCTCATTAAATTACTTAGTTGTTTATATAATTATGATTAAGTTAATACTAAATATTACAAATATGCGGTACCCACCCATAGCTATTTATGAGATATATTTTATTTTATTATTAATAATATTATCAGTTATACCATATCATTTTTTGTATGGTCGAAATTGTCAAAATTGGCTAATCCAATTTTAGGCAGAATTAGCCAGCTGAACTTTCTTCAAAAAAAGAAGTTCCGAATGGCTTATTCAGAAATAAAATTTATAACAAGCAAACCTTTCCATTTTCTTAACAATAAATCAGTTACGGTACGATTTCCCGAAATCTATTTCCCGAATATACTGTTTCTTTTCTCGAAATCAATTACCTGAATATCAATTTCCTGAACTAAACATTTTCCTGGAATATACAATTGAATCCTTATTTTCCGAACTCTAATTTCCTGAAATCTTATTTCCCGAATTCCGAATCCCAATATCCCGAATCCTAATACCCTGAATAGACAATTTCCTGAAACATATAACAACTGTATTTTTTTAAAATTTACTACATATTAATTTATAAATATTGCATCAGTTCAATACATTTAAGATACTATTAAAAATTTTAAAAGTGGCATAACAATATATTGGAAATTGAAGTCAACTATTACTAAACATTTGTTAATTTCGTAATATTCATAAAAAATTACTAACAAAACACTTTATCTATAAGATATTCTAAAATATTAATAATTAGCTATAATTATACCCGAAGTTTCTAAATTTAAAAATTATCATTATGACACAAGATTTACTTATGTTTAATATAATTTTTATTCAGCAATTCTACAAATACTGTATTATTATTCGGCAAAAATGTTAAAAATAGCAATTTATGTTGAATGTTGGAATTCGGGATATTGGGATTTGGGATTCGAGATTCGAGAGTAAATTGGAGTTCGGGAAATAAGGATTCAGGGAATTGTATGTGTTCAGGAAAGGGATCAGTTCGGGAAATATGTATTCAGGTAAATGGTAATTGACTTCGGGAAAAGATATATTCATTCAGAAAATGGTCCAACAATGTAAACGACCAATTTCTAATATTGAAATACTTGGTTATGAATTTTGAAATCGAGGATCACTATGTTAGAAGTGTGAATGATCACATTTTAATAAAAAGTCATCTTTCTAAAAGTATATGTTTTATTTATTCATTTTTAGCGTCTATTTTTGTTTTGATTGTTTGCTAATTATATATAATCCCATATCATATGACAAGTTTAAAGGTTACGCAGTTAAACTGTACAGTATGCAAAATTATGCATTTCGCCGGTTCATAATTTTGGTCAATTTGCGGAGAAATTTGTACGAGTTTTATTAAAACGATGTTGCGGGATTTTTTATTTGGTTATACAAATGCCATGATATTAAAAATATAAACTTTTCCGCTTTCGACGCTTCATTTTAAAGATCCATATGGTAAGATTTAGCTCATTAAACTATATTCTTTGTAGTGATTTTTTTTAAAATACATAAATGTCATACAATGGGAACAATATTACTAAAGATTCTGCCAAAGAAAAATGATTCTAAAAAAAATTTTAAAAATATTTCATGAATAGAAAATATGTTCATTAGTCAGTTGGTTTGGTAAATGACTTTAATTAATAGTTTTTAACAAATTTTTAAACCATTTATTAAATTATAAAGAACGATGCAAAAATTCAAATTATGTTTTTTAATACTAATCATAAAATGAATTTTTTTTTAACAATCTGACTTATCAAAGCTACCACGTTACAACTGATACATATACTAATTTATTATCAACTTTTTTATATACTAATAAATTTATTCTCTACAAGTTATTGGGAGAATATATGACGATTTTTGTAATACAGCGTGAATATTTATTAACTACAATTTCTTTCTTAATGATGTACAATATAAAAAGTAGTCCTTAAATCATCGGAGTTTTCACTTTTTAAAAGTTTGTCATCTGACACTCTGTCACATCATTATTTGTCACATGAAATTCCTTAGTGTCGTAATGCCGGCCAAAATCTAAATCATGTGATTAAACTCTGCCTCAAGATAGTTACATTATATGGAATACAGCGTATAAAACTTTTTTCAATAAATCAAGTTGTCATTTGGAACAATCGATACTAAATTTGTAATTCTTCTACAAGAAATGTGTTAAGTTATAAAAATGCTTTAATGATTATCATCTTGCGTGAAAATTCCTTTTTTCAAATTTTATGAATTCAAATTTTAACTTGTAAACTTCATTAATATATTTCAGTATTTAATGATTTTTTGGTTACGGTACATTTCTCCGAGCCGAAGCCATTTCGCTGAAGGCATCTTTTGCCGAAGGGATGTTCGTCGAAAGGACGTTTCGCCGAATGGACGTTTCGCTGAAGCCATTTCGCCGAATCGTCCATTTCGCCGAAAGTCATTTCACCGAATTCCATTTCGCCGAAGCCATTTCGCCGAAAATGATTGAAATGATAGCGATTATCACTTTATATGAAAATAAAAATTTTTTTATTAAATTACATCAGGACCTTTAATAAAAAAATACATGAAAGAAAACAAAAGACTATCGTTAAAAAATTAAGCCGTGAAATCATTAGTAATGAATTGTTACGTGAATTTATTAGAAATAATAATAAATAATATGGATTTAGTTTATTTTACTTTTATGCAGTTTATTTTTGTATGTATTTTTTTTATTTTTTTTATTTTTATTTTAGTATATACTGTAGTTTATTTAGCATAGAACTGGAAGATTAGCTAACTGATGATCGAAAGTGGCTTATTAGGTGTAAATAATTGTATGATATTTAGTATAAAAACAATAAAATAAACAAATGCAATAAATAATGTTTCGGCAAATGTCCATTCGGCGTAAATGGCTTCGGCAAAATGAAATTCGGTTTCGGCGAAACGTCCCTTCGACGAAACGTCTCTTCGGTGAAACGTCTCTTCGGCGAAACATCCCTTCGGCGAAATGACTTCGGCAAAACGGGTTCCGGCAAAATGTCCTGATACCAGATTTTTTATCCTTTCAATCTTTATATAATGATAGTTTAAATTATTAATCGGAATGTTTGTTTTATGACTTATTTTTGTTATGAAATGTAAAAATTTTACTTGAAATTTTGAATGATAACGAATATTATGAAATAAATACAAATTGGTCTGTACCTTACAATTATTTCATTTCCTTGCTTACGAAACATTTCGTTCTCGGTCAATAAAAATATTTTCAAATTGACTAAAAGTTTTTCCTGTTATCATGTAAAGATTGAATATGACGTTAACATTAATGTAACGAACTGTGACAAGGAATTTTAAATTGCCAAGTCACTTATATTAATCAATATTAGCAATTTACCGAATTGAGTTGGGAGAGGGTTATAATAAAAAATGCTTCACATTTTAAGGTTATCCTAAAAAATGCTTAGAAAGGTTATTACTGCACTAAAGAATTTTTTTTTTTTTTGAATCTTAAACTTTATTAGTATAACAATTCTCACAAACGTGGAACTTTCATGTACACGTAAAGAGTAATAGTGCTTCGTTCATGCAATTAATAAAGTATCAATAAGAATATATACAAAAACCAAGAAAAAACAAAAGAAAATTCCTAAACTACCAATTAACCCGCCAAGTTAATTTGATAAATAAAGTAACTAAAATTTTTTTAATTTATATAAAATTTTTTTATTTTTATAACTATCGGCCCTAACTAATTACCTAATCACGAAATTTTAGCAGCGAATCCTATCAGAGCCTAATCTTGTGTGCTATTATTATATATACGCTACCAGTGGCATCGTGTTAGATGAAAAAATAATTTCAAAAACCAAACTCGACTCTCGCTTTTTAATCCCGTGCCTGTATCTTCCTCATAAACATCTATGCTAAATATAAGACTAAAAATTTGCTAGTCTAGACAATTTATTAACTTTTGATTGAAATACAAAATAAAAAAAATAAATAAAGCAAAAAACAAAAACAAAAACATTAGTAATCCTTATGACAAATTTCGTTGGAAATCTTTTTTTTAAGGTAAAATCACGTGACTCAAACTAACTCAATCTATCTATTCCGTCCCACTCTCCATCTTTTCTGAAATCTCACTTCACTTTCTTCGGATAAAAGTGGCGAGAGTTTAAAACGTCGATATGGAATTTTCTATTTATTTTTCTTTCCATCTCTTTGTTCGTTAATAATCTTAATCTTCACCACCTTTTCTGTTGAAACGTTATCCTTTTGTAGTTTCTTGTCTGTTACCTTCTTCTCTTCATTCACTTCTTTTTCTACTCCTTTCCTGAATCTATTAATTGTGTCCACTACTGTATCTTCAGTTATTAGCGACGGTTTCCCTTTATCATCCGCTGAACTCCCTTTGTTGATATTTTTTGTATTTTGATACTTGCCAATGCCTTCCAATTCAGAAAAGACTCTTTGAGGCGGCGTATCAAACAAAGATTCTGTCGAAATTCTTTCATCGTCCTCGTCTTGCCTTTTTTTCGTTCTCTACTTATAATCTTTTTGTAATTCCTCTTTCTTCTTTTGTTCCTAATCTTTCAAATTTTGTCTATATCACCATTTGCTATCGACTTTTCCACCGCTAATTCCATATTTTTTTTGATCCTTAAGATATGCTATAATTTTCATTTTTTTGATATTTTAAGAATTTGCCAATTGACGCGTCACGCGTCTCGACCTATTTTTCCAATGAACTCGTACTCATTATTTTTACATTACTCCATCCCCTCATCAATTAGATCTCTTGTTAGTTGCCAACGATCACGCTCCTTCCTCTCCTTAACCGTACTTTCGCCTCTATATCATCTGATCCAATGTTTGTTAATACCAACACCGAAAGAATTGTACAAAAACTTGTTTTCAAAAATTTTCTTTCAATAAAATATTTGCTCTAACAGATTTGTATTTGTGTTGCACCTTCACTAATACTAAAATTTTTCCTAGTTTCGACAACTGATTCACTATATCCTCATCTTTCCAATACTTCGGAAGTATGTCGTAGAAAAATATGTCGCATGGTTTTTCTTTGTCTGATCGTCTACCAAAATTGGAATATCTGTGACCAACTCTTTTTTTTTTGTTGATGTTGATCTTGATTAGTCTTGTTCAACGATGATCTAGCTTTATTGAGTTGTTCCCCCAACTCGTTCTTTAATTTCTTTGTTCGCAACATATCCTTATTTAGTTTATTCACCTTTTGTCTTTCCGTAAAAAGCTCTCTTTTTTAATTCATCTATCACACCATAATTCTTTCTTATTATTCGTTCTTTTCCTTCTACAATTTTTTCCTTATTTGTCTTATCTCTTCATGTGCCTGCCGCAGTCATTCTCGCGTCGTTCGAAAGTCTTTTTATTTCGTCAGTATATATGTCGAAGGACGTTCTAGCACAACATAATATCAAAGCTGTAATAGTTGTTCTTTGTAGTCCTGTAAACTTTTGTATTGACTCTATAAATTTTTCTTCTACCCCGTTAAGTACCGTTTCTCGTTTGCTTCCCTTAAACGTTATTTTACCTTACGAGTCGTGTTTACGAATATTTTCTGATATAAAGTTTTTGTTTACCTATATCTATATTCTGTAAAATTGTATACTGACTCCATTTTTGATGCTATTTTTGTTTGTTTATTTAATGAAAATTCGTTTTATAGGCACTATTTTTTCCTGCGAAAAATTTGGTCAGAACTAAGATTGGTGGGTCCACTAATGAATTTTCGTTAATTATGACATTATAAATTATGCATGAATTATTTATTAAATTATCGAATAAAAATGATTTACGAGTTAAATTAACGGGAAATATTATTGAATCATAGGTTTTATAGGATTATTTTTTTGGTGCTTGTTTGTTCACCCGAAAAAAAAAATGCGATACGTTACATATAGTATTATATTTTAATAACTTTATTTGAAATTCGTATTTATAATGTGTTAAAATAAATATTTACATTATACTACTTACATATTTTGTGCTTTTGAAAAACGTGATGGTAAATATAATAAAATCTATCGATTTTTTATAACCATGCAAATATTATATAAAATCGATCCCGAGTGACAAATAATTACGCAGTCAGGTCATTGACTTAGAAGATAAGATTGTTTCTCAAAATGTTGTAACTCAACATCTCAACATCCAGTTAAAGTTATATTCCACGTGATATTTGCATCGATGAGAAATTGAGAATAAAGAAAAAAATTTGTCGTTGCACAAAAATATAACAAATAAATATGCAAGGTTTTTTGGCCATTTTACAAATTTGGGAATTTGAATTAATTCTTTCTTCGCTCTTCTTTCGTTTACGTTCAAAAAAAAAAATAAAAATAAAATAAATCATAAAAAAAAAAAATGGATGAAAATAAATTTTTACAAAAATTAACACAAAACTTACTTGAAATTTTAGATGATGAAGTATATTATGATATTGTCATTGAAGTTGGTAATGAACCTCATGTAAAATCCTTTCACGCTCATATGGTCATCTTATATTATCGTTCACCTTATTTAAAAAGAATTTTGTCAATTAATAAAAAGAAAGTTTATGATAATTTGGTACATATTAGATTACCTAATATTTCACCGGAAATTTTTCAAATAATTTTAAGGTATTATAAAAATTTAAACTGTTGATATATATATATATATTTTTAATTAATTTTATTAATTTTATTAATTATTCGATTATTTTATTTATTTTTAGATATATTTATGGTGAAAAACTTTCTTTGAAAGAATATGATACTATAGAAATAATTAAAATCTTGGATGCTGCTAGTGAACTTTGTCTTCAAGAATTAGTTTTATGTTTACAATCTTTTTTGATCGTGGAAAGAGCAAATTGCTTATCAAATATTCAAAATATTAATCTTAAAATAAGTGATATTCAAGTTTGGGAACACGTTCTTAAATGGGGACTTGACCAACATCCAGAATTACCCTCTGATCCAACAAATTATTCAAAGGATGATTTCAAAATTTTAAAGAATACTTTACAAAAATGGATTCCTTTTATAAAATTCACCAATTTAACACCAAGAGAATTTTTAAATAATGTACTTCCTTATAAAGATATACTACCCGAAGAATTATATTTTGATCTATTAAAATTTTTCTTGAATACTAATTATAATCCAACCAAGGAAATGTTTACTGTAAAAAGCAAGATTATTAAATATAAACATACTCAAATAATCTCAAAATGGATCGATAGATTAGATGACATGATTTCTCCATACGAATTCAAATTATTATATCGTGGATCACGTGATGGACTTGGACGTGATAATTTTCATAAAATTTGTGATTATCATTCTCAAACTGTAACGATTGTTAAAGTGAAAAATAGTGAAGAAATTATTGGAGGATATAATCCAGTTGAATGGAAATCTTATGGTGGTGATAGAATTACTAAAGATAGTTTTATATTTTCTTTTAAAATTAATGATGATGATGGAAGTGAATCTAATATTTTAAGTCGTGTAATGATTAATCATAATGCAATATTTAATGGATCTTTTAATGGTCCAACATTTGGTGACGGTGATCTTATTATATTTGGATTTTCAGGTAATTGTAGTATACGAAATTCTTATGAAAAACAGATTAGAAGAGATATGCATTTTGATATAGAAGAATGTGAAGTGTTCGAAATATTTTGATAGTATTAGAAAATAGAAAAAAGTTACGATAATATGTTTAGTAGAAATTAAAAAAGTTACGATAATATGTTTAGTAAAAAATAGAATGGAAATTATTTTCTTTTTCTTCTTAAAACTATAAATAAATAAAAGATTTTTTTCATAACAATCATTAATGATTTTATATGATGTTAATTGATTTTGAAAGTACTGTATATCGCGAGGATCAATATCACAATTTTGATAATTTCAATAAATTTATATTTTAAATATGCTCTTAAATTTGATATCTTTTATTTAAGAATTCCAAACGTACAAATTCAAATGCAATTTAATAAATGTATATTCTTTATGAATTAATATTATAATTTTTATTTTTAATTATTTATCATTTTATCTAACTTTAGGATTTTAAAAGTTAATTAATATCATTAAAAATAATTAAAGTTGAAGCATTTTATATATTTATTTTTATTTTTTAATTACTTGGAATACTTCATAGTTATCTAATATAAAATTAAAACCACTTGGAATATCTATATTGGGATAGTAATTAGCACTAACATTATCACCATCTGACCATATAAAATCATGTCCTGGATGTTTAATATAACTTAAGTTAACAGTAGAAATATTCTTTCCATTTGTAAAACTAAATAGAAAATCATCACTATCACTTCCGCTCCAATCATGTGGATTATATCCATTATATCCTCCAATTAATTGTGATGAACCTCGAACTTTTGCTACCCAAATAGTAGGTCCTTTATTATCACAATTTCTATGAAATGATGCAGCATTAAATTCATCCTGACCTGATAAATGATATAATAATTTGAAATCATAAGGAATATCTTTGTTATTATAGTGTGAAGAAACTTTTCTATCAATCCATGAAGCAAAAAGAGGAATATAATTTGAGTGAATTAAGATTGAATCAAGTATAAACTTTAAATTTGGTTTTCTTGGTGGTGATACATTAGTTTTAGGTTTCATGTCGGGAACGATATGAAATTCTAAAAGATCATGAATCAAGTCTTGTGGTAAGATATCCTTATAATTATAAACCTTATAAAAGAAATCTCTAGCTTCGATATCATAAAATCTAATTAGTGGAATAAATCTACTTAGCGACCTCTCAATTTTCGTAATTTCATCTTTACTCCATTTTATCGGATCATTATCAATATTTTGTTGAGAAAAACACCATTTCAATAAACCTTCCCAAATTTCAATTTCATCCATATTTAAATCATCTCTTTTTAACAATAATTCCAATAATGGAGCTTTTAAGTTAATAAATTTATCAGAATTAAATAAAATTTTGGGTTCTTTAAGATAAAAATTCCACAAATCTGTAAATGTTTCATGTTGATAAATAATTTCAAGAATATCAATTGGATTTTGATATAAAAATTCAGTTTGATGTTTAATAAGATATTCTTGGATATGAGGAATTAATTGTTGAATATTAAGTTCATCCACGGCTATCAATAATTTCAATATATCTGATCCTTGTAAATTTTTCAATTCAATATTTCCACTATAAATACTGTAAATCCGAGAAAAAAAAAAATTATTATTATTTTTTTTTTAACGATATTTAAAACAAAATAAATGAAATGAAAAAATTATATATATATATGAATTATGTTATTACCTTAGAATTATGTTAAATAAGTGAGGTGAAATATTTGGTTTTCTAAAAATAAATTTTCCATCTTCTTTTTCAGCCCACTCATTAGAAAATGCTGTACGAAAATATTTTGATCTAATGCACAAAATATTTGAATGAGCATGAATTTCTTTAATGTTTTGTTCTTCTCCTGCATAGATGACAACATCATATCCTATTTTTGTTTCAAAAAGTTTATCATAATCATTAGATAACTCTTCCAAAAATTTTAAAGTCATTGTAACGTTCGTTTAGGTAAAAATTTGTGAAGCTGTTACGATTAAAATTAGCTTTAAGATATTAATTTTTTTTTTTTTTTTTGTGATCAAATGTGTCATCGCAGTTGCTGCATGTGTCTTAGGATAAGAATATACGGATAAATTAACTGTGCAATAAAAAAAAAATCCTAGGAATTTTTTGGGTTTATACAATAATGTAGCACAGCAAGATATCGAATTTTTCAAGAGAAAAAAAAACATAATAATAAACTTTTGAATGCAACTAAGAAAATTTAATGATTATTAAAGTTCCAAGCACGTTTAAAAATAAAAAAAATGTTATAAGTTTAATACCAACCAATGAAAGATGATTTAAACTTGCAATATTATGTTCATAAAAACTACTTTTATTTTAACATTTAACGATTTATTTATGAATAATTTGCCATAAATAATAAGTAAATAACAAAATGCAATAAAATACAATGAACACAAACCGAAATTTATATTAATAATTAATCGTATAAGTGTTATTTACATAATTTGAAACGATTATTAATGTTTTTAAGTTTTTAAAGTAATATTTTTTTTACTTTTTTCACACTGTCAAATTCGATTTTCATTTTGTTTCATTTAAATTTACATTTTCCCATTTTTTGTCTGATTATTTCATATTTTTATTAAACTGTAAAATATTTTTATTAAATGTACGAAAGACGATACCCGTTGTAACTCATGTTATATTTTCCCATACTAACATGGTACACGAGTCCAAAGATCGTCATCAAACTAATATCATCACGACACTTGTCTCTTTTAACTTCAGATAGTAGTAAAAGGTTGCTGACCGTTTTTGAGTTCCTGTTTCGTATATATACAGTATTTGATCTTACAGCCTAGTTTTCTTAATTTTAAATAATGTGCCAGCACGCAACAGACAAGAGTAACATTTTCAAAAATACAATTCGTCCAAGTTGATTAATATTATTCACTGATAAATATATATTCATTTAAAGAGTTCGGATCAAAGAAGAACTATTGCCAACAAACTATATGTTAGAGTATTTCATGTAAAAATAATTTTGCAACAAATAATAAGCTTAAAAATAGTATTATAAAACACAAATATTTATTAGTCTAAAAAATTTTTTTAATTGAATTTATTATTGAAAATTGCTGAACTTATATTTCAATAAATAATTTATTTATAATTAGAAAGTACAACATATAACTTTATATGATAATATGTTAAAATTACTGTGTTTATTCAGTATTTCATATCTTTTAAGTAAAGTAGAAAGAGTTAAAAATCTAAGAGCGAATTGTTAAAGTTAAATATCAATTTGAAATACTTCACATTCTTTCACAGTAAAATTGCCATCAGTTTTTCTAATTGGTTTTTCATAAGAACATTTTTTACAAATATTACCACCGTATTTAGGCCATATAATAATGTCAAATATACCAAATGATGGACCATAATAAGGATCGTTAACAATAGCACGATCTTCATTCATTACACGACTTAAAATATGATTTTCAATTCTATCATTATTATTAAAAGAAAATATAAAACTATCAATAGTAGTCCCATAATCACCCTCAGATGTCCATTGAATTGGATTATATCCTCCAATAATTTCATTACTGTCTTTCACTTTAATGATTGTTACAGTGCGAGATTTATTATCGCAAATTTCATGAAATTTATCGCCTGAAAATCCATCACGAGAACCGCGAAATAATAATTTGAAATCATATGAGGAAGTTAACTCGTCTGAAATTTCCAATTTATCAATCCATTTTGAAATCAATTCAGTATGCTGATATGTAATAATCTTTGAATCAACAGTTCTTAATTTAATTTCTTTAATTATATTAGGCTTTGATTTATCACTTGGCTTACTATCAGGATCTAAAAGGTTTAAATAAGTATTTAATAAATCATCGTATAATTCCTTTGATAAAATTTTTTTATGGGGTACCACTTTAGAAATAAATTCTTTAGAAGTTAAATTATAAAATTTAATAAAAGGAGTACATTGTTGAATAGTATTCTTTAAAATAATAAAATCATTTTTTGAAAACTTTGTGATGTCAGAAGAAAGTTCTGGATTTTGAGCAAGTCCCCATTTAATTACATGTTCCCAAACTTGAATTTCTTTCATTTGAAGGTTATCATTTTGAATAATTGAGACTAAAAGTCTTTCCGAAATTGAACAGAAATTTGGTGACTTAAATATCTTATCTGGTTCTTTTGTTATTAAATCAGTACAATATTTTTGAAGTTCCACAAAAGAATTATCAGAGCTCGTTTGATAAATGAAATTGAAATTTTGCTCCATCCAATCTGCTTTGTTTTTGATCAAAAAGGATTGTAAACATGTGACTAATTCTTGAAGACTAAGTTCACTGGCAGAAATTAGGACTTTAATTATATCTGAAGTATCATATTCATTCAAAGAAAGTCTTCCGCTATAAATATATCTAAAATAAAAAAATTATATAAATTAAAAAAAAAAATTAAAATTATTAACTATTTGAAATAATTTATTCTTTACCTTAAAATTATATGAAAAATTTCAGGTGATATATTCGGCAATTTAATATGAGACAAAGTTCCATCATTTTTCTTTTTATTAGTTGATAAAATTCTTTTCAAATATGGAGAACGATAATGCAAAATAACCATATGAGCACGAAATATTTTTACATTTGGATCATTACCAACTTCAATGGTAATATCATAATATTCTTCATCATTTAAAATTTCAAGCAAATTTTGCGATAATTTTGGTAATAATTTACTATCTTCCATTTTTTTTACTTTAACGTTGGCGAAAAAAGAAATGAGAAAGGATCAACTCTCAAATTTGTCAATGGCCAAACCTTAATAACTTAGTTGTTACGTCATGTGTAACGTTAAACCTATGCTTTAAACACATGACTAATAACGCAATCGATCATGAAATTTCGTGAGCATTTGGAAAATCATAGAAATTTCTATTCTCTGATGAATTATAAAATAATTATTGAAGATTTAACCCTATTATATTATTATTTATGAAAAAAAAATATATTCCCAATTTTTTCAATATAATGATGCATAAATTTATTGAAAAAAAAAAAATAAAATTTTACAGTTATAATTTTTTTTCTTTTTAGTTTCATTTTATATTAAATAGTTATTCGATTTGTCAAGGTAATTTCTAGAATATCATTTTGCAGATAATTATTTAGATTGTTAATGAAATCCTAATTAAATTATTTTTTTGAGAAATGATAAACTATGTAAAGGTTTGTGTGTTTGGTTTTACTGAAAATTTATTGAAATTATTAAATAGTTATTGGATGAGGGATGAGCTATATCGGTCACAGGACCGAATTATTGGATGAAAATGGGCCACGTAGTGACCGTTTTCATCAACCAATGAGTCCCTGTGACCGATAGTGTTATCATTCTGACGTTTTTGATCATGCATTAATTAATAACAACACAAATAAGCTTTCTATAAATTTCATTTTTAATCCCTTTTTTTTTAAAAAAAAAAAAAATAGTAACGCGTTTATTAATTAAGAACAATTATAAAATTGATTACATAAAATTACGATATCCTCTATAACTAAGTTCAATCCAAATCTATAAAAATAATTATATAATCTACTCTAATTTAATAACTAAACTATTTTATTTATCATTGACCAACTATGCTTGATCGTATTCCCATCTGTTATGTGACCTATCATTTTATCCTTCGGTACTATCTTTATATTTTTAATTAATTTTTTTTTCATTTTTATCGTTCTCATCTTTTTCGTTGTTTTAAATTATTATTTTTTCCTTCTAATTCTAATTCTTCTCCTGATGTTTTCTCCCTTGACCTTACTTTCTTTTTCTTTAAATCCTTTTTTGTTATCCCTCGCTCTTTCTCTATTTCATAAATCTTATCACATCTTTTTTTTCCAAATTTTTATTTTAATCTGATCGTAACAAAAACACCAAAGGTTCTCTATAGCTTTTTTTATATTCCTTCCCTTTGCTATTTTATTAAAATTTTGGTTGTATATCCCTCGTATTAATTCCCAATATCTATTCTTACCTAATAGAACCATTGACGGGTGTTCTAAATTCTAATAAATTCGAAATTTATCTCTCACTATCTCTGCTTTTTCTCTTCTATTAGCTTTAGTTTGTATTCATAAATCGAATTCTTAATCAAAAGACTTACTTCTACCTCATTCGCTTCACAAATCCAAATGTGTTCCCAATCTTCATTAAATTTCTCACAACGAGGACATAACTTTTCTTCTATTCTGTTTGTAATGATGAAGGTTAATGGGATAACAATTCAGTGTTTGGCTGTAGCACTCTTAAGTTTTCGGTTGACATTTGCGATGTTAATACTAACAGTAGTCGCGAAATTCCTTTTAATATTCTCACCATTGGTCATCTCAAGAAAATGATATATTGTGAGCAATAGGATTCCTTCGGCCAAATTAACCCCAATATGCTTATATTATGGAAAGTTAGCATTCCAACCAGAAAAAAAAATGGCAAACATGATAAACTTAAGGAGGACCCTCGTCTAGAAATCGTTAAAAGAATTAGGAGATGAGGAGCTAGATGAATCTTGGAATGTTGTTACATCTTTTTCTGATATTCGTATGGAGCACATACACATCATCGTCCAACTGCCCCAGCCCGCCACCACACCACTGGTAACTGTCTTCCAATTTACCTCTCAAACAAGAAACGAAATATCAATTTAACCTGACGTCATTTTTTTTCTCGCGTCTCTCCAGCAAGGAATTACACAAGGTACAATATCTTTTTTCAGTAACTAGCGAAGGTTTCTGATAATAATACTTATTTTATTATGTCTCATAAACTTTTTAGAACCTGATAAAGTATTCAAAAATTTCCTTAAAAGTGAACACAGACAATTCCTTGAAAAATACATAAACAATAATGATGCATTCCACACTATGTGCGATGTATACTTCAAGTGTAAATACAGACTTAATGTTTTACGCACGTGCAGAAGAGGATTTTTGGTTGCTTTGGTGGATGAACCCTTTGCTCTTGAGGCTGCATTTAACTTTTTTAATGATTATGGTAGTCTACCGAAGGAAATTCTTAGTACAATGTCTAAAGTTAATAACGCAAGTTCATGTGGTTTCTTATGGGAAACATACTTAACAACGGAATTTGAAAAAAAATTCGATGGCTCTACTAATATTAGAAACATGCCAATGTTTGTTGGTATCAATGATTTTCCTGATACATTCGTGGGATCGCCAAAGATTGTTAGATCACCTGTAAAACGAGTGGCAAATTCAACCACAGGTTACAAACTTGATAAGTTCTTTAGTGAAAAACCAGAGTTGCATCCAACATTCTATTTCCTGGATTTCTTTTGTGGTCCTGATTTGATTTTCTTTGTTCAGTTTGAGAATCAAATTGTGGTTCCTGTATTCGCTCAACTCAAACTGCATTATTCAGTTAAGATAAGTAAAAATGTGCTAAATGGACTTCATCCAACAATGTTTTATAAAAGAAAGGATGGAAAGATTACTAATGAGAAATCGAACAGATCCACCATTCAAAAAGTAATAGAACTATGTTAAAAAGTTGGTTCTATTGGGGTATTGGTTGCATACCCAGCAGATGTGTTCAATCAAATCCCTATTATTACAAATGATACACATAATTTAAGAACAAAAAAGCCTAGATTCAACCATTTATAAACAACAACATGACCAAATAACTGAAAAGCAACAACAACTCATTGGAATAATTGATCGTAGTAATGCATCATGTGTTTTTCAACCAGATCATCTCACATTTTTTAATGTGCTGAATGAAAAATACCATGAGAAAGTATGAAGATGAATCAGAAAAAGTGGAAGTAAAGGAAAATGGGAGAACGAAAAGGGAAGGGGAGGGGAGGGCGAAAAAGAAGGGGAGAACGAAAGAGAAGGAGAATGGAAAGTCAAATAGAAAGTCAAAAAAAAAGGAAAATATAAATGAAAAAAATTGTACACTTTTAATTCAATAATCACTTGATTACTTGGTTCGTAGAAAAATTTTTTGTGTATATTATCCAATAGACCTCTAGTGTAATAGTAATAACATAGCATAACGACAATATGACAATACAACCAAAATAAAAGACTTTTTTCGATATAATATAACTGAAAAAGAACAATCCAAATCCAAAAATCACTAAATAGTATATACAGTATGTAAGAATTCGAAGTGGCTCAGCTAATGAGTATAATCAAGCCTTGTTCAAGTAAAACAGCAAAGTCAAATGATATCACGAACTCAAATTGCTAAATGAGAATAATCTGAAAATAAATTTGAGATGGATCACCTTTCCATAATCAAATTTGGAATGTGAATTAGTGAATTACACTAACTTGATCTAACATGAAGATCCAATCAATAGATCCGCTCAAAATAAAAAAATTTTTGACGCCAGGCGTATTAAGAAACACAAACTAATATATCTCTTGATATTAACTTCCTTCAGTAAATCAAGGTCAATATAGCCATTTCTTACTTCTGTAATGTTTTCATATTTCACTTGATTATTGTTATAAGTTTTAGTGACTAAATTATATTAGAATGGGATTTGAGTTTGATGTAATTTTTTATGTTAGAAAACATCAGCAAATCATATACCTGGTATCGACGTAGTAATTTATACAATTTGATATCCTTATAAGATAAACAAGTACATATATTTTATAGGTGTAACCGTGAAGATCAAAAATCATGTAAAAATTTAGAATTAAGAATAAGCGTTCACATAAGTTGTCCCGCATGCAGTAAGAAAACTGTAACATTTTGTCACGATCAGTGTTGTGTGTATTGTTGATGTAACACAAAAATATAACACAAAAATTTATAAAAAAGTATACACGTAAAACAAATTACATAATTGGAACAACTCCTTAAAATTATATCCTAAAACCTAATTTCTAATTTGACTTTCTCGCAAGATTGCCTATCGACCTTACCTTTTTTATTTCCCTCTCTTTGCCTATGTCAAGAGCTGAGTCCAATAACTATGCAATATGTCTGAGGACCTTTTCCACCTTAGCTTGCAAATCCTAATCTTTGCAATTTGCATACAGTTCTGATAGCTTAAACGATGGCTTCCCCTTATTGTACGAACATTCCATAAAATACCATACTTTTGCATCTGTAATAATTCCAAAAGTCTTTCCCGTAAAAGTATCTCCTTCTTCCATCTTACTTGCTTTACGCTTACGGTTTGATAAGGCTGATTCAAGTTGTACAGCATTCTGAGCAATACCCTTAAAAAAATCCTTGTCATTTACTTCTATTACACCAACAGTTTTTGCAGTTTGGAATAAGTCTATTGCAAAATCAACTGGTCCGTGTCCATTAGGCCCTGTGATATTTTTTTCTGGTTGAAGTTCAAATTTCCCTTCATATAGATTTGCATTTGCAACAAGGTAAGAACACACGTATTGCAATTTCGATGCTTCATTTCCACTGATTGGAATGGACTTGAGACGGGCCTTCAGTTTGGTTATAAGATTTCTAAGTATTTCCTGAGAAAAATCATCTTCCAGGTCTTTGCACTCATAAGTGAAAGGCGGAAAGACAGATATGAAGGATCCTCTGATTCGCTGAGTCCGTAAAGCTGACACACCTTCGGGAATGACCATTCTTCAAAGCCTTTTGATGGAGTCTCTATAATCACAGTAAACTTGATGAAGCTACTCATTTAAAAATTCTGCACTTATACAAGGTGAATTATCCAAACTTTTTAGTGCAACTTTTATGCTATACCTTTTCCATTTTTGATCTTCAATATCCCAATATAATAATGCATCCTTCAATTCAGCTGAATAAATTTTATCAAATCCACCTCTGGTAATATAAGCAATATCTTTAAAATTTTCAAAAGGTATCCATTCAAGATAGTTTTTATAGCACACAGCATTAAGTTGTGATTGTTGTCAATCAGATATCTGGATTTGTGGTTTTCATCTGAATTTAATCCAGATGAAAAATATCCAGTTTAAACCAGAATCCAGATGAATCTTTATTTATTTTTTTTTTTGCATAGCACCGTAACTTTATATAATAAGATTTACAAATTATTTATAGAATTAAGTATATATTTTTTTTCATCAAAGTGCGACCATAGACAAATATTTTAAATATTCATATTTACCCAAACATTCAAAAAAAAAACTTTTATTATTTTTTTTACAATGAAATAATAATTATTATTTTTAAATGAAAAATTATTCAAATCAAATTACAAAAAATTAAAATATTATAAAATTTATATAATTATATAATTACAACAACTTTTTTTAAAAATTAAAATCTTAATATTGTATAATATGATTCAAATGATTCTTTAATTTTTGAAAGAAGAAACAAATCCTTTTTAACATTTTAAACATTGCCTTACTAACCCAACACATCTATCTATAGTAATCTTTATCTGTATATAAAAATATCTTGTTTATCCAAAATTTCGTAATTAGTTAATTTTCAAAGAAATGTCAAACAATAGTCTGTAATTATGAAAATTTAGCGGTCTTAGATAATTTTGGCCAAATTTGTAATTCTGGCCGAAAATATATCACGTGACATCGGAAAATAGTTTAGCCACCGGACAAAATTTAATGTTACACAAATTTGTACTGCTGATCAGTTGTAAAACCAATCCGGATTTCGGTTTCTATCTGGATTTTTGACCCGGATAAAGAATCTGGATCAATCCGGATAAATAATCTGGATGAGAGTTATTATCACTTATTAGACTTTCATTTTATATTTGTTTTATAGTACTTTATGCTCGGATTTCTTTTCAATTATATTTTCATTTTGTTTCATTTTTTGTCGATTCAACTTTATCATTTGGTTTCTCTATTTTTGTTTCACTTTTTATCTTATTGTTTTGATTTGTTTCATTTTTGGTCTTTGTTTAATTTAATAATCCTTCATTAGTGTTTTTGTTCAGTTTTTCCATTATGTTTTATGTTATTTTGCAATCAAAAATATTTTAAGTGATTCAGTGTAATTTTCCAATTTATAATTCAATAATTAAAATCTTTTAAACCATTTTTGTAAAAAATTTCAAAATCATTGTTCGTTTAAATATAATCAAGTAAAAAAAAAATAATTCAATAATTGATAATTTAATTTGAAATTACATTACGTACTGTATATTAAATCTTTTACGTCAAAAATAAAGTTGCAATTAATATTTTGGGTAGTTTAATGATAAAATTGATTTGCTATAAATGAACAATCAATAGCTAACCAATTTATAATTTATTTTTATTAAACCAAAATATTACATACAAAACTATAAATAATAACTAGTATAAAAGAAATAATTTAATGATAATATAATTTTAGTTAAACTAAATTCTTTGATTCTTATAAAAAAAATCATTCAATATTATTTTCTTCATCTTGATTGATTTCATTAAGATCTACAAAATAAGTAACTGAAATTAATAAATATTAAGCAAAATAATGAACTAAAGAATAAATATCTTACCTAATTCGTCTAATTGACAATCTAAACATTCTGAATCTATGAATTAATTAACATAATATTAAAAACAATACAAAAATTTATATTGGTTATAAATAATAATTACTTACGTAATGTTGTTTTAGTAGCATCTATTAAAATATAAAGTTATTAGTAATGTAAACCTTTTTTTTGGTTATCAAAGTGTAAGTTAAATTAAATTACCTGAATTTATTGGTTCTGGAAGATTTTCAAAATTTAAAAGTCTACTAGTATAGATTGCTTGTGGATGCGTTTGAATGTTATTAGATCTTTTTTCACTTGTTCTGCTTAATTTGATTTTATCATCATATTCATTTATTTGAGAATGATATTTAGATTGTTCAATGAACAATTTTTCAAGTTCTTTATACACTTCCTTAGAAGTTGGTCTATTTTCTGCTTTAGCATCCCAACATTTAGTAATCAAATCTGCAAGTAATTTTGGTGTATATTTAAAAATATTTGGTCTAAGTCCTTTACATATTTTAATAGTTAAAGCATTATTATGAGGAATATTATTATAAGGAGTTTCTTCAGATATATATTCATTCATCATTATTCCAAATGAATAAATATCAGATGCTTTTGTATATTGATATCCACGTAAAACTTCTGGTGCCATATAAGGTAATACTCCATAAATTCCTTCTTGTTTAACTAATTGCTTTTCATTATTTGCTGGTTTACACATTCCTAAATCACTTATATATGGATAACCCATATCATATAATATATTGCCTGAATGAAAATCTTTATGAATTTTTCCAGCATTATGAATATCTAGAAGTCCACTTGCAATTCGCGTTAATTCTTCAATTTTTGGACCATAACTTGATTCATTATTCATATAATAATTTCTCAAATTTCCATTTTCACAATATTCTAAAACCATCATATAATCTTTGGTATTTGGATCTTGAGTTATTCCATAACATTGAATAACATTATAAAGATAAATCTGAAGATGAGTTTTAATCTAACGAAAATATTGAAAGTGAAATTTTTAATATATAAATAAAAAATAAAATTAAATAGATTGCCTTTCTTATTTTAATTACCTCATTTAAAAATTCTGCACTTATACAAGATGAATTATCCAAACTTTTTAATGCAACTTTTCTGCTATGCCTAATCCATTTTT